AGAAACCAGCACCCTGTCGTGCACAGATTCCTCTCTGGAGAAGGAACCCGCAAAACTAGCAAAAGGGTGTTGGGCCCAGGTTGACACATGTCAGGAAACATGGGCCAATCTGATATAACCCCTTCCCTTGCCAAACATCCTCCACAGGCGGGTGCAGTCACTTGCAGGGCACCAGAAGCGGGGCGAGGAAAACAAGCCCAGGCGATCATAGGCGACAACCCGGGTACCTGGCTTGCGATCTGCAAACTAAATTGGGCAGGGCAGTTTGCCGGGGCCAAAAGTATCGGTGAGCCGCTGGCGGTCCTCTTGCGTCGGAGTCCTTGCTCAAGCTAATGTTAACCCCGGATTAATAAACCCCTGGTTGACTAATAGGGGGGTGTGCCCTTTCAGTGGGGGTTCATCACTTTTGGAGGGAACACCCCCCTAATCGTGGGACAGGTCTATTAATCCTGGGTCAACATTACCGTTGAGCAGTGGTCAAAGTATGGCTGCCTTCTTTCAGGGAGTTCCCTAGTCCTCTTGGCGGTCGCTGCTCGACAGGTCGAAAGGAGAACCCAAGGAATGAAAACGCGTGCCAGCCATTCCTCTCACCCCTGGCGTGCGATAAACACAATGTGACCCTGGCATGGCCTCCAAGTTGCGCAACACCCTGCGGCTGAGGGTTCAACATAGTTAAGTCACGGCATGCACCAGGAGATGCCAAGGGACTTTTCAGGCTTGATCCAACCAAAACCAAGCCACATATGTGCAACTGCATCTGCTGCCGGCATTTGGTCAAATCTATTGCACCATGGAACAAGCCTCAGCTTGGGCACCACCTGTCGCTCTTGGAAAAGGAGGAAAATGGCAGTTCGGTATCAGTCCGATCATCCTCCAAGTCACTGTAATCGCTGTAATTCCGCGCAAAATGCCAAACGACACCATCCAAATCGCACTTGCTGAATGCTTTGGCATACGTTTGACGCCTCTTGCAAGCTCGCAAGGTTTGCCGCCCAACCCACCCCCCGCCAACGCGCGGCAAGAGTCGGCCTGGCTCTATGCCCAGTGCTGCCATGGCCGCACTGAACCGCTCCTCGTCCGGCAGCATGTGCGGCAGACCTGGGCTGGGTGGGATCCTTTGCCGTGGTTGGTGTGCGCAGGAGGTCCAGCCTGTGGAGGGGGAAGCGTGACCACCCCTCACTCGAGAACACAGGACTCCCGTCGGCTTCTGCGTTCTGCAGACATCATTGGCTCAGAACATGTCAGAACATTCCTGCCACACAAGCGTGCGCATCTCCAAAAGCATGATACATCATCGCCGAAAATGGCAATTTTTGCTCCGCCATCGTGTATGAACGTGCCATCATGGCACCATTTTGTTTGCCTATGGCCGTTTGCCCACTCCACACCGCGCGGCACAGGCAGCTTTTCGCTCGCACGGCCGCACGCGCGGCACAAAGCACCCAAGCACGACTCCTGCAGCTTTGCCTGCATCGGTGGAAGGCGCCAGCTGGCGGCGGAGTCACAGGCATCCACCAGCGCAGCCTGAGGGAGCAGCCCCTCTCAGGCCCTCAGCCCGCCCGGCTTGCGCTCACAGCGGGAAACAAACAAATCCCCCCAGCCACGTCATTTCCTTCTAACTGAAAATCCTTCAAGTCTTTCAATCCTATCCTAGTGCCAATGATTGATGAGAGCAACCATGTCTTCTCAGAATATTTTGGAGTCTCGAAAAGAAACAGGCCTGGCCCTACTACAACTCCCACAAGAAAGTTCAGACCAGTGCAAATCCAGACCATGAAAGCGCTTGGCAAGCCGTGCTTTTCCCCAGCCCCCTGCCTGCGCCACCACGCTCTCCGCAGCCAGCCCCTCCGCAACCTGCAGGCTCTGGCGCCACTGGCGCCCCACGGCGCAAACGGCCGCAGCGGCGCACGGGGCGTCGCAGCGCAGGCCGCGGCAGGCGAGGCCCGACACGATGGACAGGGCCCGGCGCCAATACCTACGAGGTCGTGAAGGGTCGGGCCACGGGCCTGGCAACCTCTCTTCGCGTTTTGTCTCCTGTGTTGTTGGCAACCGAACTGGGCAGCAGGAGAAATGCACACAAGACACCAACCTCCGCACCCCGGTTCCGGGCCTGATTTTGGCGCAAGCCTTCAGGGACCCAGATGCGCCGTGCAGGCCTGGCCCGCGCCCTGCCAGGCGCAGCGCTTGCTGTGCCTCGCTGGCCTTGGCACAGCTGCCAACTGCCGCGCCCACCGCTGCGGCAATGGGCCGGGCTGGCAGGAGCGCCACCGCTGGCCGCCTGTGGCACTCACTGCACGGCGAGCGAAAACTCGCAGCCAGTTGATGCGCAATGCGTCCAAACATGTCAGGTGTTGATTCCCGATCATAGATGTGTCTCAAGATTAAGGACTTGTCCAGGTGGTGAGGGGTCCTTTTGGTTCCTTCTTGGAGCCATCCAAAAAGGGTCCGCCATGTTGAGACAGACCCTCATCTTGGTGGGTCAAGGCTCCCGACTTTTGACGAACTCTTAGCCATGTCTCAGAATGGATTGGAAAGTCTAACTGCTTCACGGGAATTGGCATACTGCCACGCCGCGCCGTTCAACTCAAGCATGGTGCTCAAGCATGAAGCATTGCTGGGAAGAGCCCGCTGACAATTCCCTCCATGCAACGAAGCAAATGAACAAAAATTGTCTCACCCCTTTTTGCTGCCAATCTGGTGCATGAAAAACTGGTCCTGACCACAGCCGCTGAACAAAGCACGCTGACACCTCAAGCAAAACTCCAACACAAAACATAACAACCCAACCAAAGCTTCGCGTCGTGTGTCAACAGATTTGGCACCCAATGACACGTGGTCCGTTTGCAGCATACGCGACTCGTCTTGCTCTCGATTCCACCAGCTGGCCATCCAAAAATACCAAAAGAACATTTAAAAAAGAAGGCTTCTCTCCGGGCCACCACTGCGTGGCCGTGTCGCAGGCGCTGATGGCCCCGCTGATGGCCACCGCGTTAGGCCGGGCCCCCAGCAGCCGCAGCGCCTCTTGCCAGCGCCCCACCCGCCCGCACGCGCCCAGCGCCGCGCCCGCCACGGCGGCGTCGCCCTCCAGCCGCCGGGCCTGGAGACGCCGATTGCCGCTTATGCCGCCTAGAGGCAGGGACTTCTTGACAATCCAAACAGCAAAAATTATGTGGCAACGTGTCTGTGAATCAACCTTAACGATTTGCGCATCGGCCATTCAAAAGGAAGCCTCAATGAGGGTAGCGCGGGTTGTTTCGTGAGTTGTTGCACCGGTGTTTCGTTGTGGCCGGCACGCCGAGTATTCTTTGTAAGGATAGGCGCTTCAAGATGTTCGGAAAACGGGGGCTCCTGCATGCGTACCTCGCAACTGTGACAGACATGGTCATTCTGCGGGTAGCGAGTAGTTTATGAGGGACATCTAGCTTGCGCTACCAAAAAAAATGGCTCTCTGCGCCGGGTGTTATCATTGAGGGGCAGTAGGCTTGCTAGCCCTAGTTATCCTTTACTCCAAGCATTCCCAATCCCACAACGACAGACAGGTTCACTACGAACACTGACAAACAAATTCCGTAAGTCGGATATGCCGCGTAACATGGGTTGTTCAATACACAAAAAAACTTTGCACATGTCTGCATTCCTAAGTGGAAAGACTGCCTTTCATTGGAAGACAGCCGGGGAAGCTGCGAGCTAGATAAGAGGAAGCAAAGTGGAGCCATTTTGCCTTTTCACTTCTTGGATGCTGCGACTGTTCAGCTGCTCGAGTTTTCGACTTTGCGACAAAAATGTGGCACCAAAAATTCCACATTGCGGCGGTATGGCTACCAGCTGTAACATGGTGGCTTGCCAGGCTTGCCATCTGTGTTGGCCAAGTGCCCGCTGGCAAATTGGACTTTTTTAAGCCAGCCCCACGGAAAATCGAAGGGAACTGTAGGAGACCTGAAAGGGTTAGTTTGGTGCCCCTTAAAATGAGGTACATGAGGTACCAACCCCTGATTGTGAAAAGTCCGATTTTGCCCTCCAAAAACAAAGCCGAGCGCCTCAAGTGCCGCCAGGAATTGCACGGCCTCCACCCACCGCAGGCCGCACACCGCGGCGCCGGAGGTGGCGGCGTCCGGCTGCAGCTGAAGTGCTCCCTCGGGGCAGCCGGGGGGGGGGGGGGGGGGGCTGCAGGATTTTGCCGAGCGCCCACAAACAACAACAAGGTAACCCACATCAGGCTTCAACACACCGAGCGTCACTCTACACCATGGTTTCGTGGGCGAGGTAACTCTACATGGTGAGGCTCTAATGGTCAGATTGTGATTGGGCAGAGAGATTGGCCAGGTGCTAATGGCCGACTTAGAACATCATACTGAAACCTTCCTGCCAGGAAAAGCGAAAAGCGCAAACATTGCCAGCTCAGCTTGGCAACCAAGCAAATGCATTGACACGAGACATGGTATGATCCGACTTTCCACTTTAGAACCCCCATCCATGGCAGCCGCAGGGGCAACTGAGCAGGAAAAATACATGGTCTGCCTCTCAATGAGATTCACTGAGCTCATGGAAGCTCACAAACTCAAGCGGCCCAAATTCTGAGCAATGGCCAAAAGGGGCCCAAGCGATCTATGTGCATGATTTTCGGGTCCAAGCGGCCATGTGTTCGAGCAGCTGCGCCACTTCCTGCCATCTGCCGTGCTTGCCGCATACGTCCACCGCCACGCCGAAGGTGACCGCGTCCGGCAGAAGGCCCGCGGACGTGAAGGCGCCAAACTGCACCATGCGCCGCCACGTCACTCCGCCCGCAGCGTTGAAGGCGGCGACCTGGACCTCACATGGTGACACCAGGCAGGGAGCCCAACTCACAAAATCCTTACGAGAAAGAGATACCCTGCCCACCCTGCCCACAAGACCACTCTCTGTGGAGGCTCCACTGAAACAACCAAGAACGGCGTGGCTGCCACCAGCTTTTGGGCCTGACCACCACGCCTGCAGGCACGCCCTCCCGAGTTGCACCAAGAGGTCCTGTGCTGCAGACCAGCGGGCGCTAATGGCGCTAATGGCGCTGGTGTAGGCGATGAAATCCGCAGAAATCCCCAGCACCTGCATAGCCCGAAAGAAGCCTCAGCAGCTTCTGAAGCCCTACCCACTCCCCCCGGCTGGAATCACGGCACTCACCATCAAATCGAAAGCTGGCAGTTCTGCAAAGCGGCACAGGCCCTGCCGCCATGTCTGGCAGGTCTTGATGCTCTTGCTGAAAGTGACCACGTTCCTGGGTCGCACAGGCTTCGACAAACCCGCTATGGCCATGAGCCCTTCAGCCTATGTAAATGATTGGTTGGTCGTTAGAAAAAGCCCGTGTCAAGCAGCTCGGCCCATTTGTCATGGCATTCACAGCCACTCAGCCCCCTAGTGGGGGAGTGGACTGGGGAGAGCACTAAGCTGAACTCGTTCTGTCCCGCCCCCCTGGCCCCTTACAAGCTGAATAGATTGCTTGCAGGCTCGCGCCTCTGCGAGCGAAACCCAGTATTGCAGAGGAGGCTAGCCATTCTCCGGCCCAGGGTCATTTGTCCTTTTTGAGAGCCTGGGTGCCAGGCCAGCTAAAGCCAGCAACAAACATTCGCTCGGCTCCAAGGGCTGGCTTCATGAAAACATGCTAAATGAGTATTGGTTTTGCTGCAGAACTTCCTCAGAGTGTCAAAATATGTTCTCCAATGCAATGCTGACCCGCCACGCTCAAGTTCATAGCCCATACATTTCAGGGACAAGCATCATCCAAAGAAGCAGGATTTCTGCACTTTGGGCTCAACAACGAAGCTCTAATCACCAGAAAGGCATGGAAGTCCCACACCTTGCAGCTCAGCATCAATTGCAGCCTATGTCCAACTGCCCCTCCGCTCCAACCTCGGCTACAAGAACCCGCATGGCAGTGAAGCAAGTCCCGCCAGGCTCAAAAAGCACATGGACGCTTAGCACGGGTTCCCCGCAGTATCGTCTGTGATCACAGTGATCAAGTATCTGTATTGCTTCATACTTGTTGAGAAGCATTGTTGTATTGACGTCTTATCTCCGAGTTCTGTGATTCTGTCGGGTATTCCCTTAGTGTTCGAGCAGTATATATCATAACATGATTCCCTTTTTATTGATTTGTCATCAGTGTTAGAACTGCCTCAAAGTGCTTAGTTCTACTTGGTATGTTGTTAAGTATCGCTTAAGTATTCGCTCAAATGTTTATTCTTGCTGAGTAGTGTGTCCCTTTCTCACTTGCTAGTGCTTTGGAGGGTCCACACATCTGCCTTCGGACTGACTGTGGCCCGTGTCAATACTCCAACGCCTTGAGTGCAAACCCTGACACCTAATCGCCAAGGGACACGCTGCGATTGGGCCCATGGGCCCCCATCGCGCAGTGATGGCATGCCAGCGGCCGGCTTTTTGCGGCACCGGCAGTTCGCCACTCGGCTGCTTAGCGGGTAGATGCTCGAGCCGAAGACTTTAACAGGGCGTGTGGTCGGTCATTGGCTCGGCGAAGCGTCGCTGCGAACATGGGTTCCATACAGAAGGGGTCTGCCTAATGCTCACCCCGACGGGTCTCAAACATCTCTTCGTCCAGTGCGTCCACCAAATCACCCGAAAACCAGCATCGGTTGGTTGGGTCCCGCGCTTGAGTCCGCCGCCACCCCGTCGATGTCGAAGAATTGAGCCCCCGGCAGGCGGGGCCCCTTGGTGTACTCTGCCTGGGCAAACCTAAAGCCGCATATAGGGACTTCATGTCCAACTCATGGCCCAAGAAAGAAAGCCATTGAATCGGAACCGGCTCCGGTTTCGCCCCGTGGGGTGCGATATAGAGACGCAATCATCACAAGGCGAGCTCCGCAGATATCATCGCAGGACGTGAGAATACTTAGATGGGTGGCAATGGGTGGAGAGGCCCGATGCCCATATAAGACCACCCTCCTGCCTGCGGGCTGGAGCCCTCTGGAGCTGCGAAAGGGGAATTTGGAAGGTACCTCAGGTGCCAGCGGAACTGCAAACAACTCCATGCCGAAAAGAAACACGTAGCCAGGAAACTGTGGCCTGTTGCATGTCTGCGAACGGTGGCTGCCGGATGTTGGCCAAACGGCTAGCGGGCTTGGCACTTGCAGCCACAACATCCAGAATGTCCTTCCAACAAGAACGGGCCACCCCGGAACGTCTGGGTCAACTCGCATGCAGCGGGAAATCGATCTAGATGCGAGCCAACACGCCCACGGCACCGATGGCCTGAGGCACTGGGTGATCTGCTGGGTCCCTCGCCAGGTGGCTTCCACGATCTTCAGCGGCCCCGAAGGCGCGTCCAACTCTGCCTTGAGCCATTCCTGAGAGCTGGGGGAGACGTAAGAAACCCGCCTTCGCGCCCAGAAGGGTGAACTGTTACACGGCCACGTATCCCACGCCCTGAAAAGTCCAAACCTTTTGGTTGCCACTGAAAACCTCTTCTCAACCACGTTGGAATGCCAGAACATCTTTGGTGCCACAGCCTTGGATTTAGGAGCAAGCATGATTGTGTCCGTTGCCATTGATTGGAACATCAGCCTACAACTCATACAAACAACGATGCCAGGCAGGCTGGCATCAAACACGCGTACTGCCAATGCACAAGAACTTCTGTGAAAGCACTTCAAAAAGGCAAAAGGTAGATTCAGGTTGGCTGACCATATCCATATATATATATATATATGTGTGTGTGTGTGCGCGTGTGTGTATAGATGCATACATACGTGTATATCTACAAGTAGATATATATATATATATATGTACATATGTATAGAGAGAGAGAGATGTGTGTGTGTGTGTGTGCGTGTCTGTGTGCGTGTCTGTGTGTGTGTCTGTGTTTGTTCCATACTGTTCTACTTAACTTACACTGCACAACACAAGAAGCAAGACGTAGAGCTGCTTGCTGGTGGAAATCCATGCTACCACCCACACACGACCGCAGCCCCATGCCGCTAGAGCTGCGCAGGAGACGAGGCCGCTCTCCATCGCGCCTGGGCAATGTGGGCGCGGCGTGTCATTGTCCTGAAACGGGTAAAAGTGTGGCTGCCCGCACTTGAAAAGAAAAGGCTCGTGAGTGATGCGCCGCTCGCGCTGTATGGGGTTGCGGGTTTGATTCCTCTCTGGCCGGCGCCTTGGCCTGACCCTCAAGGTCCATTGCAGTCGGAAAATGCTTCTAAGATCAAGGGCAGACTATGCGCATGTTCGGCGAATTCATCTTGGAAGCCTCTTTTTCCGACTGCAGTGCACACTGGGAAGAGTCAGACAGACATGGTCAGGCTCAACCTGAGACCCCTGGCCCTAAATGAAGAATCCTCTCCTTGTTTAACTGGATTGCATTTGTCGAATCACAACTTTGACCTTGTTTAACTCCTGGTTTAGCCCGGTTTAGTTCTTAAGTCAAATTTGACCTTGGATGTGTCAAATCAAAACTGTAACTGTTACCTTGTCTAGCTGGAGTGACCGTTTTAACTCGATTGGATTTGTCGAAAAGGGGGCGGCGGTAGCAGTGGCAGCCTCCACAATAAGTACGCTCACACGAAGGCCACAAGCCCAATGAGGGAGAACTCAGCACAAAATCCAAAATCAGTTTACACGCCAAGCATTAGCTGTCATGTCCAGGTTTCCGTGCACGATCTCCGGGCGCTGAAGGCCAAACCGCGGCGAGCCTGTCTCAAGAGACGCAAGGCCAAACCTGTCAAGACGACCTCCCCATTGATGTAACTCCATAGAAAATGCCCTTGGCCTTTCTTGCCGCAAGTGGGCGAGCCCCAGTGCCAGTGATATGTTGGTAAGGCTTTGGCAATGAAAACGGCCTTCCCAGCTGGACAAACAACGAGTCAACATGCCCTTCACGCTGGCATTCTCCAAGTGACACGGCTGGCAAAGCTTGAGAAACTGGAGGGGCCCCCAACAGCTTCTGCGATCTTCTGTGCCCTTTGGCCTCGCAAATTCCCTTCGCAGGAGCTGAAGGACCGCCTGCGAGCCCCGCTTCGCCCCACAGCTCCCACCTGGCCGAAGATCTGGAGGCGAAGCCCGGCGCCGGCAAAGCACGCGCTGGCCGCCTCAGCGTGCCCCGACAAATGGCACCAGCGCGCCATTTGCCCCTTGACCATGCCCAAAATCCAGATGTCACCTGGACATGGTACTTTCTCGGGGTGCACAGCATCTGTATGCATTTGTTTTATGATTTCTTGAATCGAAATACGGAAAGAAACCAGCGTTTGCCAGGGAGCTTCGCTATGTAGGCTTCGCTATGTGCCCGGTATCAAGCGGCCCGCGTAACCACGTAAAGTGAGCAAACCTTGTCAAAGCAGGCTCAATTGGGTTCGTGCCAAGTGCAAACTCCACCCAGGGCCTGCCTTGACACTATCGAACCTGACAATCCATCCAGGGGTGTGGGCATAAACCGTCAAGGGAAGAAAGCAAAGCATGCGGAAAGTGATGCCTTTTGGACAATCTGAAGAATCCCAGCAGAAAGAAAAAAAAGAAGATGGGAATTGCAAGTTGGTGTATTTCATATCTGCAGACTGCCCACAGGAGCTGCGCCAAAAGGCCGCCGAACTGCGCGGATGGGCAGCGGCCTTGCTTGGAGCGGCTCTCCGGGGGAGTGACTTGCAACGCCAAGGAGGTCTCTTCTTTGAGGCCCTTTTTGGGTGTCGTTTGGACATGTTTGGACACCATAGGGATACTACCAAAAATGGTAGCGTCCCCTTTTGGAGACAGAGACCCTGCTAGCTTTGACATGTCTTGGAATGGAATAAAAATACGGCACGCCTGAAATAACCCAGAATGGCCAGTCAAACACGAGTACAAAGGCGAAACAACATGGTCCTGAGCCGCGCTGCGTCCGTTTAAAGCATTGCGGAGCCACATCATGAGGCTGCTTAGGCATGTTTTGAGTCAAACCGTTCGCCCTGTTCGACTGGGGTCTGCACAGGACAGCTGCTGCGCGCCCGCTGGGCACCAGCATGGCCCCGCGTGTGAAGCTGAAAGCGGCGGACAAATGGCAAAGGCTCCGAATCACAGCGTGCAACATGCCCTTTTGGCGCGCAAGAATCCGCAAGTGCCATCATCGTTCAATTTATTGTCCGAAATCACGTCTGACTTCCTGCCATGTGCAGCTGCCAGGCCCCCATCCTCATCCAAGATAACTCTCATTTGCAAGATGGCAACAGGCTTGTGCAAATGAGGCCCCGCAAGCTACCCACCCGACAAAACCTTTGCCCAACACCCGTACAACCTTATAAACCCATCGAGCAACATTTCCTACCCGTGGTCTTGTTCGTTACTCCATCTTGCTGAATCTTGCAGCACGGGGCAAACAAGCAACCGTTGAAGCAGCGGTTCTGGTCCCAACATGTCCCAACGCTTCTCGGCGAACCCCCCCTGACGTGTCTTGATAACTGCCTGAAGTCTCTGGTAGCAGGGTGTCTGAGTGCAAGCGAGCTCGAAGAGAGCCCATATTTTGTCAAATTCACGTGGCAATCGGTCCCAAAGACTTCCCAAGGCTTGCTCAACTGCCTTATGAAATTGACTCAAGGGGGACAGCTGCCAGCCGCAAAGATTGAAAGGACTCCACAAGCTTCCGCACAAGGCTTTGGACCACCAGTCAGCCACCGAAAGACCTTTTCTCCACCTGGTTCTCCTGCGCTTTGCCTTCCAAGTCTATTAGTTTGGAGACCCCACGTCTGACAGCCCCGAGCTATTCCTCACTTGGCTTTGACCGAATCCTCGGGCACCGATTCGCAGTAGCTCTTCCGGATGCCAAACCTAAGCTCAGACTCGCAGGTTGGCTTCCAGGTGGCGCGCAGCTTTTGCGGCTGTGTCCGTGTCGGGTGTGAGCGTCGCAATCGACCGCCCTCCGAGGCTTTAGAGTGATAGGCGAAATGTTTAACGTTCATAGGGCATCCCTCCTGGCAGAAAGGTGGGAGCAAACGTAGGTTCAGCCCCCAAGGCCCTGATGACGCCGGGGACCACCTCCCTGGCTCCGGAGTTCAATGTTTGCCAAGAGGAAAGGCAACTGTTGACATGCAAACGGGCGATCCAGGAATAGTTCATTGCCTGCATTTGCCGCAATCTCAGCTGCCGGCCCGGCAACGAATACCGCCCCCATCAGCAAAGCACAGAACCTGTGTGGTTCGGAGCTGAGATGCCACCCCTGTGAATGCCACAATCCAGGCTATGCAACCTCGACAAGTGGGAGGGGTATTGGAATAGATGGAGTGCCATGCATTGCCTGTCCTCAAAGACCAAGTAGAATACTCAGGGTGCAAACGCAACACTCCCACCAAATGCCTGAAGCACTGGATCACAGTGAGGTCGGTGAGGAGCAGGCTGACGACCACTGCATTCAGCGGCACCCGGCAAATGTTGTACCTCAGCAGGGGGCAGACACAGCCTCCCTGTTCTTGCTTGAGGTGGCCATGCTGAGGCGGCCACATAGTCGCGCGGATCCGCTCCTCAGCACCGAGCTTATGCGGGGGAGGGCCTAAGTGTCAATGGCTTTGATTTGGCCTCTTTCCTACTGGGTTTTTGACAGCTCAAAAGCGAACTCTGACAGGGAGCGGAGACCATCCTGGAAAACACCCCCCGCCCACCACAATTTTGCAAGATGCACCCAGCCCGAGTCGCTGGAACCAACTCGCTCTTCAGCGTGCCAATAGACGGGAAGTAGACGCCTACGCAGAACTCAAAGACGAGGAAGCTCAGGAAGCACACCTGAGGCACTTTCTGAGGGCCTGCCACTTTGCAGTGGCAGAAAAGGCGGCAACGGTCATGATCACCACTGCCACAACGCCCAAACCCAGAACCACCACCAACAACCGACAAGAAGCGCCGACCAATGCAAAAAGATGTGGCTGCGGATTTTAATACGGGAGGGACTCTTTGGTCGACATCATTTACGTGGGGATTCATGTCCACCAATCACGTCTGAGCAGCTTCCCTATTAAAATTCATCGCCATGCCCACAACAACTGTGAAAGTACCACATTCTATCTTCCTAAACAAAGCCACAGCGACTGCAACAGCCACAGCCACCGCAACTACAAAATACAAAGCGCCAGCCATCGCGTCAACCACCACCACCACCAACAACAACAACAACAACCAACCAACCACCCAGCCAGCCAGCCAACCAGCCAGCCAGCCAGCCAGCCAGCCAGCCAGCCAGCCAGCCAGCCAACCAACCAACCAACCAACCAACCAACCAGCAACAACAACCAACAAGCAACAACAAGCAACAACAGCCACAGCAGCAACAACAACAACAACAACAACAACAACAACAACAACAACAACAACAACAACAAGCAACAAGCAATAGTAATAGTAATCACAATAATAACAATAACAACAGTAATAACAACAACAACAACAACAAACAACAAACAACAAACAACAAACAACAAACAACAAAAAACAAACAACAGACAACAGACAACAGACAACAGACAACAGACAACAACAACAACAACAACAACAACAAC